CATCAAAATCATCACCACACTGAATATAGAACACTTGTCTTGTGGTTGCCAATTAATGAAACTGATATATATTTAACTTGATGGGTGCCGGTGGTTTAACCAATAAGCCCTAGCATACTTCACTGCTGCAGCCTCCTTTACAATTAGAGTTTTGGTCTGATTATTATCACAACTTCGTACAATCTCTCATTGGTTGTCAGTACAAATGATGCCGCCATTAAATCTGTTTGTCTCTCAACTGCAAATATCCCTACTTTTAATCAAGCAATGTATCACACAGTGCTTTGCTGCTCTCTGAAATAACTTCCGATTTTGTTTTCTGATGCTGTTGATTTAATCGTTACGTGTCTGAGTCTGCAACAGGCTGAGTATTGCCTTTCTTCAAAGTGAACTGGGGGCTCTCAGTCCCTCACAAAGGAGCTGAGTATCTTTTATGAACAAATCCTAAGTACATAATAAATATGTAAAAAAGCAAAGCTTCTTTCCATGGCTAATCACTGAACTTTAAATAATATTTATAATAATATTCTGGTTTAATAGTGGTAGGGGTGTCTTAATGATTTGATAAAATAAAGAGCCCAGAGAACATCTTTATTACAAATGGAATGTTTATCTGATGTACACAAAAAAGAGCATTATTTTACATGAAACAATGAACTATTAGAAAACTATAGTTGAAATATATGCTACTGCTCGACAACTTTTGCATCATTTCATGCACAGAATGGACCAAATATATTCTAAATAAAGCAGCAATTTTGCTATTAGGAATTCAAAATGCAATCTGAATCCTTACTTAATTCATTAAGTAAGAATATCTTTTAGTGCGAAATGCTGCCTAATTATCAGCTTTAAAAAAAAAAGTTTTACATCTTAAAATACAATATTCTGTTTATCCTAGATTGTCTGGGGAAAATCTAGTACATTAAAAGGTTTTTGTAGAGCTTCTTAGTGATTTAACTGATATCATCATGCCTGCTAGCAATTTTGCAACATTCTGAAAACACTTTCCATAAATCAAAGC